GACTCTGGCTCTACCTCGTAGATAATAAATGATGCTCTTACATCTTGCAATGGAAACAAGCTGAATTTAAAAGATGAAATGGGTATTTTCTTGATTTGAAGAAATAATTATTATCTATAATATAGAATTCCAATCTTAAAATGATTGTATAAGCCTTGAAGTAGTCTCTTTCGTTGTCCCCTACTTCAATAGAAATTAGAAAGAAAAGGTATGAACGTTTGTTCTGTGGCCTAAAAGGCCAACCTACTACATCTACCCTATCCAGGGGCAGACCATAGCGCCGAAGAAGTGGGTTATAGCCAAAGTTCAAGTTTGGCTTAAATTGTGTTGATTGTGTTGCTGCAATGATTTCCATTTTCCTGATCACTCAGTTGTAATATCTCTGATATTTTTGGCTGCTTCATTTTAGCTAAATAATGGAATATGGTGTAACTATTGATTCTACCAAAACTAGTGATTTTACTTATAGCATTGTCTATACTCGCTGAAAGAAAGGTAATTTTAAAGCAAACGGTCGCTAACTAATTCTTTGGGCAAGATTTCATTCCACAATAACAAGTAGTTGCCTTGGTTGGAACACCGCCACTACCACCAACGGCAAGCCAGATTGTAGTCCCAATAAATTTGGGTCGTCTGCAAATTATTACTCCTATAATACTTGGTTGCAAAATCTCTTATATTTCTGGAAACATTGATGTTTTGGACTAATTTGTATTAGCTATATGTTGGAACACAGTGCAAGTATTGATTTTATTACTAACGTCAAGTATTGATTCTATTACTAAAGGTGGCTTTACTTTTACTTACAGCATTAAAAGAAAGGAAAATCTTTGAGAATGGAAAATCATAAAGAAATGAAAATCTATGTTCATCAGTTGGTTATATGGTTCATCTTTCACTCTATGGAAACATGCAACTGTCTTATTTGCGACACCGCCCACCATTAACATCAAACTAAGCATTATTCTCTGTAAATTTGAGTCGTCACCCTGTTTGGCTCATCGCCACATCTACTAGAAGATGCAATGACATCTTTAACTTCGGAACACCCCCTCTCTCACTCTGATATTGGAACATATTTTCAACCAAATGCAATAGCATCTAGTCTCTACGAAGTTTAACAAGTATGTCTATCTGAGAGCAAACCAAAGCTCCACATGGTGTGCCAAAAAAATTACAAGACCACTGGAAAAAGCAGATTTGCAGCAGTCAAAATTTACTACTTCTCC